TAAATGGTGCTGGTAAAACTGAACAGCTGCATGCAAAAAAAAAATGGGCTCAGACCTCTACCTAACACCATGCACAAAAGGTAAAGGTACAGGCCCTCCCGTTGATCGTCGATTTGCTCGAGCGGGCCCAGTAACGTCTCCATTGGAGACCTTGTTGTTACTGTGTCTGGCATATCGAATACTCTCGGTAGCTTGCTGGGCTCTCCGAGAGGGGCGGAGGAATCGAACTCGGGTCGGCCATGTTGGCCGCTTGTAAGGCGAACGCCCTACCCGCTGTGCTATCGCTCCAGCCCTACCATGCACCATGCACAAAAGTCAGATCAAAATGGATTAAAGACCTCAACATGTACCAGAATTCATAAGGTACATTGAAGAAAAGGTCAGCAAAATACTCTACTGAAGCTAAAGGTATCTTCAAGGACAAAATGCCATTGACCAAACAAGTGAAAACCGAGATAAACAAATGCGATTATCTTAAACTAAGATATTTCTGCACCTCAAAAGATACAGTGACCAGAATACAAAGACAGTCTACAGAATGGGAAAGGATATTCACCCAATACCCTTCCAACAAGGGGTTAATATCAAGGATATACAAGGCACTGGTTGAACTCTATAAGAAGAAAACCTCAATCCCATCAGAAAATGGGGTGATGAAATGAACAGAAACTTTCTCAAAGGAGAAAAATGAATAGCCAAAAGGCACTTGAAAAATGCTCTTCAACACTAATCATCAGGAAGATGCAGATCAAAACAACTATGAGATATCATCTCACATCAGAGACTGGCCCACATCCAAAAAAACAAAAGCAACCGGTGTTGGCATGGATGTGGGGAGAAAGGGACTCTCCTTCACTGCTGGCAGGAATGCCGACTGGTTCAGCCCTTTTGGAAAACAATATGGACATTTCTCAAAAAACTAGAAATCGAGCTCCCATTTGACCCAGCAATACCACTTCTGAGAATATATCTCGGAGATGCAAAAAAGTACAGTAGAAATGACATCTGCACTTGTATGTTTATGGCAGCACTATTTACAATAGCCAGAATCTGGAATAAACCTGAGTGCCCAAGAACAGATGATGGTTAAAGAAACTTTGGTATATCCACACAATGGAATACTATGCAGTTGTTAGAAAAAAATGAAATCATGAAATTTGCATATAAGTAGATCTACATGGAGAGGATCATGCTAAGTGAAATGAGTCAGAAAGAGAGGGACAGACATAGAATGACTGCACTCATTTGTGGAATATAAAGTAACATAACAGGAGACTAACACCTAAGGACAGTTGAAATAAGGGTCAGGAGAATTGCCCCACAGCTTGGAATTCGATCTCATGTGCTGAGGGAAAGTGTAGCTGGAATAGAGAGAGGAGCACTAAGTAAATGATGGTTGGAGGAAATGCTCAGGATATTAGATGCATGTGCTGAAAGTAGACTATGGACCAAACATGATGGCTGCTTGATACCTTTATTGCAAACCATAACACCCAAAAGGAGAGAGAGATAAAGTAAGAGGGAATGTGTCTACCACAGAGACAGGGATGGGAAGGGTGGGGGTGGGGGGAGGGATACTGGGACCATTGGTGGTGGAGAATGGGCACTGGTGGAGGGATGGGTACTTGAACATTGTTTGAGACACAATTATGAAAGTTTATAAGTCTGCAACTGTATCTCATGGTGATTCATTAAAATTTAAAAAAGAATATCAATCATCATCTCTGATGAAAGAGCCCTGCTGTGGAACAAAGACAGCAGTGGGGACGTCAAAGCTAAGGAGAGGGAGAGGGTGAGACAAAGCAGAGACTGCTGAAGTACATAAGTGAGCAAGGGAAAACGGAGAGACAAGCTGAAAACTGGCACCCCAGCTTTAAAATTCTACTTCTACAAAATCTGATTGGGATACAAGAACTAAACGAGACAAAATATTTAGGGCCAGAATTTTCAGTAGGCTGTACTTCAGCAGGCTTCTGCACGTCATCTCACAAAACTCAACAATAAAAGCACTAACACTGTAATTGAAGAGTGGGGCAAGCAGTTGAACAGACATTCCTCCAAAGAAGACATGCAGGTGGCCAAAAGACATAATAAAAAGCATTGATCAGCACTAATTATTGGAGAAATACAAATCAAAATACCATTGTGAGGGAGTATGGTGCCTCCCCAAAGATAAACCTGTACCTGCAGGGCGTGCATAAGCAGTCTGATGGTGCCTTCATGCTTCCTGATACCCCAAAATTGATGCTGTGCCTTTGGCTGGACCCCAACAACTTGGGAACAAGTTTCACAAGAAATCAAATGGTTGAAATTTAGGTATGTGGCAGTTATACCCACAAACCACCTCAGGTTCAGCTATAAAAGTACATTTATCGGCCTGGCTTCAGAGACCCATAAATAAATCTCAAAAGAGATCAAAATCAGGCCATTTAAGCACATTAACAACTATGATTCAGAGACTCACAAATGAACCTCAGAAGAGAGCAGCACACCACAGAGATGCCTCCAGACCCCACCTATTTAAAAAATGTTAGAATTCCAGGAGTGTGCGGCCACTTTTGTGGTCACACAATATCTCATACTATTCATAACAAGCAATAAAAAATAAATTATTTAACATCTGCCTCTGGGGCAGGCTTGGGTGGTGGTGGGAAAATTCAAAATAATGGTGGTGGGAAGGTGCAATGATGGTGGGATTGGTGTTGAAATGTTGAATGTAAATAATGTGAACAACTTTATAAAAATAAAAATTTAAAAAATATTTTTAAAAAATTAATGTGGATATAGAGTTCATGTTAGCTTAATCAGTGGCTGAATAAATAGCATTACTCCTACATTAAAAAATATACCACTGTGATATCATCTCATACCACTGAGAGCAGCCTATAAAAAAGAGACATGAAACAACCAGTAGGTACGGGTATGTGCTGAAAAAAGAAACTCATTCACTGTTATGGGAGTGCAATCTAGTTAGCCTCTATGGAAAACAGTGTGACGACTACTCAAAAATTGAGAAAAGAACCGCCATATTATATCTGATACAGTAACTTAACTCCTTCGCATCTCTCATAAGAACAAAAAACACTAATTTGAAAAGAGATATGCATACCTACATTCATTATAGCACTATTTATAATAGCCAAGAACTAGAAAAAAACAAATGTCAAACAACACACAAGGTGATAAAGAAACTGTGAAACATACACACACACACACACACACACACACACACACACACACACACACACACATATAATGGAATACTACTAACTTAAAATAAAAAATTAAATCTGGCATTTCACTACAACTTGGATGGTGTCAGATTTAGTAAAGTAACTCAGGAGAAAAATATAAATACTGGATGTTCCTGCTGATGCTTGAAACATATAGAAACAAAGCAAGAGGGGGGCATGGTGCTGCCAGCAGGTCAATCTGTACCTGTGAGGCGAGTGCATCAGCAGCATGATGGTGCCTTCAGACTTCCAGATACCCCAAAATTACTGCTGTGCCTTTGGCCAGACTTGGGGCCAAGTTTGTCAGAAAGTAAATGGTCAAAACTTAGGTATGTGGGAGACACACCCACAAACCTCCCCCAGCTCAGCTATATAATCGGAGGCAAGGCTTCTCTGGTTCCTGATTGAACTGCTGAATGGCCATGATCCCAGAGACTCAGAAACAAATCTCGGAACCCAGCGGCTTTTGACAGCTATGCGCCCAGTTTCCACCACACTAGGTTACTGGCGCCAGGCCACCCCAGGGGAGAAAAGGTGCTGTCTCTCCACCTGCTCCCTCTTGGTGGCTCGGTGGCTACCATCCTCTAGACGCCACTTGAACAGTCAGGTTTGGACCCGCAGTGACGAGACGCAGGGCCTCACGGGTTTGGGGTAGACCCGGTGCTTTTTTCCCCGCCCCACCAAGACCCTGAGTCACTGCCCATGAACAGCCTCTCTGGCTCCTGATCAAGCTGCTTAAAAGCCATGATCCCAGAGACTCAGAAACAAATCTCAAAACCCAGTGGCTTTTGGCAAAAATGTGTCTGTTCCCTGCAGTAGGTTAACGGTTCCAGGCCACCCCAGGTGGGAATAGGTTTCGTGCCTTGGCCTGTTGCCCCTGGCAGCTCAGTGGCTGCCATCCTCCAGAGGCCATTGGACAGTCAGGTTTGATGAGACACATGGGGTCTCATGGGATGGGGGTGAAGCCAGCCCTAACGAGACGCCGAGTCGCTGCCCACAAACAGCCTCTCTGGCTGCTTAATGGCCATGATCCCAGAGACTCAGGAACAAATCTTGGAACCCAGCAGGTTTTAGCAGAAATCCCTCCAGGTTTAATTGTTAAAATTTCAGAATTCCAAAATTGTGCGGCCTCTATTGCTACTGCACGACATCATATGTTATTCATAATCAGCAACTGAAAACAAATTTTCTATGGTTGCCTTTTTGGCAAATTTGAGTGTTGGGGTAAAATCCCAAATAATAATGGTGGGTCTGGTGTCAAAATATTGAATGTAATTAGAGAAAGAGTAATGTGGAAATCATCTGCCCCACAGGGAGGGTTGGGATGAGGGGTATACTGGGGTTTTTGGTGCTGGAAAATGGGCACTGGTGAAGGGACGGGTATTTCATCATTGTATGACTGAGACTTAAACCCAAAAGTTCTGTAACTGCTCTCATGGTGATTCAATAAATAAATTTACAAAAAGAAAAAAAAAGTATGTGGAATTCATGCCCAATTCAATCAGCCTAATCAATGACTGAATAAATAGTAATATTCCTACATTTAAAAAAAAGAAACAAAGCAAGAGAGCAAACAATAGCCAATGAAAACAAACAGCAGAACTGAATTTTTAAGCGGGATTGAGGTCTGAAGGAATTAGGAGTGATTAAGGGATGGTGGTGGGTGTATACTCTGTTTGTGGGTGTGAATGAGTAACATTTCACACAAAAGGCATAAATATTAATAGTAATAAAAAGTTGTAACTAATAGTAGAATAAAATACCTACCGTGATTCCACATAAGTCACAGAAGAAAGCTTTCTGGGGATTCTGATGGCCACATTTGGAGCAGGAAATGGTCTCCCCTTTCTGAGTGGATGGAGGAGAGGCTTTATTTCCCCCACACAAGGTCTGGTGAGCACAATGGCATGAACAGATTAACACTATATTCTCTAGTGTCCCGCCCAATCCAGGAAAGAAGGAAAAAGTCCAAAATCAATTCAAGCCCAGGAAACACACTAAGTTTATGGAAAAGAAAACTATGAGAACTTCAACAGAAAGTTAGTACAAATAGCTTTCAAGACAATGCTCAGGGCTTAACGCTGGCTCTATTATCCCTAGGGATAGGTCCTGACAGTGCTCAGGAGAACATATGTGGTGCTAGGGATTGAACTGAGGTTTGCCACGTCCAAGGCCTTAATCCCTGTACTATCTCTCCACCCCTATTCACAAAATGTTGATGATACTGGAGCCTTTCACATCTTGATAGTCTTCAGTATCTTTAACAGCAAAGGTAGAAAGTTAACTGTAGTTGTTCTATAACAATGTTATGTTATAATTACAATATGAAAGTTCTTTAATAGCAAAGAACTTTAATAGCCCCTGAGCACCACAAAAGATGGCTCAACTCCCCTCAAATACAAGAAAGAATTGCTTTGTGAAAATTTCTGAGTCTTTTTTAGTTAGACCGGGACTGGGAATCTTTGCTGTTGCTCCTTATCTATTGCTCATTTGAGAGTTTTTTTTTCTTAAATTGGGGATGCTATGATTCATCACTGCAACCTGATCTACTCTGTGCAGGTACTGCTGAGAACTGCCCCTGACTTGATATCCAACTCACTATCCAACCTGCTAAACAACACCCTCCACATCTCCTGAACCTCTGTGCCTATTGTCATACCCTACCACGAGGAACACAGTAAACCTAATGGGGAAGACACATGAAAACCCACAAAGCACTGTCACTGTCACTGTCCTCCTGTTGTTTATCGTTTTTTCTCAAGTGGGCCCAGTAATGTCTCCATTGTGAGACTTTGTTGTTACTGTGTTTGGCATATCGAATACATCTCCTTGGAAAACCTGAATAAAATGAGTGAGAACTCACACCACAAAGCACAATGAGTGAAAATAATAACAGAAAAGGCTCACACAGCACCAAACAGCTCAGATAATGATTTTAGTAACGTCATAGTAAGGACATTAAATGAGCTCAAAGAAAAGATGGAACCAGTAGTCAGCAAAGCACAAGTAAATATGAGAGCCTCTATAATAAAACTACAAGAAGAAATGAAAAGTATGGTAGGTGACATTAAAAACAAAACTCAACAGAGGGGGGCTGGAGCAATAGCACAGAGGGTAAAGTGTTTGCCATGCATGCGGCCAACCCGAGTTTGATTCCCAGCATCTCATATGGTCCCCCGAGCACCGCTGGGAGTAATTCCTGAGTGCAGAGCCAGGAGTAACCCCTGAGCACCACTGAGTGTGACCCACCAAACAAAACAAAAAACAAAGAAAATTTTAAAAAACTCAATAGAACTTCTGAGCAGCAGAAATATAGCAGCTGAGAAAAAGATCAAGGCACTCCAAGATAAATGGAGGAAACTGCTAGAAAACAACAGAAGGTGGAGGAGAACGTCTAAAAAGAAATAAACAGGTAAAGTGATATGCATGGTACACTTTCAGTCACAGTATTGCAAACCACAGTGTTGCAGAAGAAAAAAGAAAAAGGGGAAAGTGCCTACCACAGAGATCTGCTGGGGGATGCGAGAGGAAGGGTAGGGAGGAGGGAAACGGGGGACACTGCTGGAGGGAAGGGGACCCTAGTGAAGGGATTGGTGCGAACACTGTATACTTGAAACTTAATCATGAATAATATTGTAACTTGATCATTTACAATGATTCAATAAAATTTTTAAAAAGCAGCATTTATGGTATATATACACAATGGAGTACTACTCAGCCAGCCATCAGAAAAGATGAAGTCATGCAATTTGCTGAGACATGGATGGATCTGGAGAGTAGCTTGCTGTGTGAAATGGATCAGAGGGAGAGGGACAGACACAGAATGGGCTCACTCATATGTGGGATATAAAGAAACATAGAAGGGGAATGACTAATGCCCAAAGGCAATGAAAACAAAGAGCAGAAGAACTGGCCCTGAGTAGGAAGCTAGCCACTTCAGGAAAAGGGAGTGGGAGATGATATAGGTCAGGAAAGGGACCACTACCACAATGATACGGGGAAGCAGCATTCTGGACCAGGACTAGGTACTAACAGGAGGTAAAGTGGCATGCATAATATTCTATCAGTAACAATACTGTAAATCACAGTGCTTAAAAGGGAGGGGAGGAGCAAACAGTGTCTGCCACAAAGGTGGGGGTGCTGATGGGGTGGAGGCACTGAAGGGAAACTGGGGGACACATTGGTGGAGAGAAGTGGACACTGGTGAAGGAATTGGAGTTGAAACATTGAACCATGACAACATGACAACTTAGGTTTTTGTTGCTGTTGTTGTTTTTTATTGAATCACTGTGAGCAACACTTACAAAGCTTTCACGTTTGAGTTTCAGTCATGCAGTGACCAAACACCCATGCCTCCACCAGTGTACATTTCCTACCACCAATATACCAATGTCCCCAGTATTCTCCCCCCGCACACACACACACTCCTCATCCCACTCCTCCCTGAACCATGACAACTTTGTAACTCTATATCATGGTAATTCATGACCTCCAGAACCAGCCACCACCATGCTGAGACCACTCTCCACACGCATGAAGGTACCGGCAGAGGAACAAAGGCATGAGGGTCCTGGGGCTGAGATCTCCAAGCCTGCTCGAATCGGGGCGGAGCATCCTCCACCCAGAGCCTTCACCTTCCTGTAGGCAGGGGTCACACCCACCAACTGGCCCCCTGGTGCTGTGTAATCCCATCAACGGCCAAGACCCAGAGACTATAAAACCCAGCTCCCGGAAGCTGGGACATCTTATTATCTCATTCCTACTTCGGACAAACTGGCAGGCTACCGAATGTAACCTGCCCACACGGCAGAGTCTGGCAAACTCCCCGTAGCGTACCCAATATGCCAAATACCAGTAACAATGATGGGTCTCATTCTCCTAACTCTGAAAGAGCCTTGAATATGGCTCTTTTAAAAAAATCTCAGGGCTAGGATGAAGGAGACGTTACTGGGGCCTGCTCGAGGCAATCGACGAATAACAGGATGGTTGTGATCATCGTGATCATGGTAATTCAATCAAAATGAAATAAATAAATAAATAAAACTTAGAACTCTATTAAAAATTTTTTTAAAAACATGTGAAGGCTAGAACAATAAACAGTAGGTAGGATGCCTGCCTAGCATGTGGTTAACCTAGATTTGATTCCCAGCATCAGAGCTCTACCAGGAGTAATACCTCAGCGCAGATTCAGGAGTAAATCCTAAGTACAGCTGGGTGTGGTCCAAAAGCCAAAATAATAAACAAAATTAAATAAAATAAAGATATAAGTGAGTATGAGTGTGCCATGAATGGGTCTACTTCCCCAAGGCTGCTGTCAGCCTTCCATGCAGTAATTTAAAAAATTGGTAAGAAATCGCTGATTATTTATAGAGTCCCCTTAAAGTTAAGAATTTGAAAATGGGGGTGGAGGGAAAACTTAGCAGGCTGAGCACAGCTTTACCTGAGGCTCAGGTTCAGACAGGAGTGACTCCTGAGCAGTTTGAAAACAAAGAAGGACAAACATAAGAAAATTAAAACATTTTCATGTTGATGTATATACAAAATCATCTCCAAATACAGAAATGCCATTTTCAGTTTACCACAGAGCTTTTTATTTATTTATTTTGGTTTCTGTTTGTCCTTCAACTTCCTCCCTCCTTCCACAAATCACGTATCTTCGTTATCATTAGTGTTGAACATTTAGGATCCACTGAATAAAGTTCTGGCACATACAGTCAATTTACCTGTGGTGATGCAGGCAGGACCCCCTCACAGGTGACGCAGTGGCTCAGGTGAGCCGGATTCCCTGTGCCACAGCTGCGGCAGATAACTTTCTCCTTGAAAAACAGAAAAAAAAAATGCAAAGTCCTTTGAGCAAACCACTGCAGAGAGAGCACCAGGTAGTTGTTTCAGTTCATCAGCCAGCAAGAGACCTTACTGGAATAAACAAACCCTGAAGCTGGATTGGTTTATTGCAATTTCAACCATGTCAGACAAATGAGCCTGGTTCTAAAAGAAACATATCCCTACCCTGGCAAAGAATATACATTTGAACATGGAAAGTCTGACTAATTAGACATTAGTGGGAAATTCTAAGGTCTCCTGCCTACTGGGAAACTGGTCACCCCAGAAAGTCACAGTTCCCAGCCCAGAGATCTCCTGAAGTGAAAGACCCACGACCTGCTCTTCAAAATGGCAGAGCACCACAGACTCGCTCTCAGAGGTTCCTGGTGCTTCCTGGTTACAGCTTTCTTTAAAGCTGTGTAACGTTTTCATTATGTAATCTGCATTTGTCAGAGCTCAAAGGATTGAAGCTCAAACTTACAGTAAGAAGGCCTCAAGTTTGAGCCTTAGCACCACATGGGTGGAGACAAGCACTGAACTCTCTGGTCTTGATAAAAGGGCAGAGTATTACTGAGAGTGGTCCCCTAACCCCTCTGAACACTACAATAGAGAACCTAAAATTAATTAAAATAACCTCGATTGCCTAATGAGGTAATACCTTTTCCTGTGATAACACTTGTGGTGCTCTGCCATTCTGTATTGGGTTCAATAACCGTGCCCTTCTTGGGGAAGTAGTGTTTTTGTGTGTGTGTGTGGCTCTTGAGTTAATTATCTGGTACTATTCTAGGACTCATTTCCTAAGAGAGTGATGAACATGACCCAAAGACAAAAATCATTTTGTATATACTCATAGACTCAAATACCTTCATAGGAATGGTCTGGGAATGAGGTCGCCATTAGATTTCCATACCAAGAATGTTAAACACATCTGAAAGAATTTTTTTAAAGTCAGGGGCCAATGCTATGCAGAAAGTACAGGGGGTAAGACACTTAATTACCTTGCATGTAGTCAACCCCAGTTCAATCCCCACAACCACCTATGTTCTCCTGAGCACTTCTGATATATAAATAAAGAGCCAAGAGAAGCCCTAAGGTATGGCCCCTGGTCTACAAAAAAAAAAAACTACAAAAACAAAAAAATCAGGGAGCAAAGACGTGTCTCAGATGTAGAGAGCACAGTCTTATATTATAAGGTCCCACGTTCAATCCTCAGCACTGCTAAAAAAGAAGGAAAAAGTCAGTACTTTCATTTTCCATCTCTTCACAGTACTTGGAACAAATATAGATGAATTAAAGTAAAAAATGGAACCAATTTAGTCACAGGAGTAGAACTTTTCTTGTCAAAGTAGTAGAAGATGAAATAAGTGACAATCTTTTTCTTTCATACGAATTGCATTTTTAGAAAGGATCATTCCTGGATTTAATGATACAATGACTATATACATCCTGTATTTATCTTCAGTTTGGATTCTGCCTATTGAAAGGAAAATGACTTCATACATTTGTTCCTCTCTATCATTCCACAAAATGGGAAGACTTTAGATTTCAAAACTGAAGGTAGTACATGCTAAAGAGTATACTTGCATAAACATGGATGTCAGCCCACTACACAGATAGGCTATATAGGGAATACACTTGTATGTGCAATAGGTCATAACTGAAATGGTATTATGTGGTGCATCACTGTAAAATGAACTTGACTGACAACAATTGCCCCTGCTCTTCCTGTTTCAAAGAGTTTGGAGTAATATTATGTTCATGCATTCTGAATAATATTTTAGTATGACTAGGTTCTGCCGTGATGGCTGAACAAAGTAACAGTGGTTTTAAAAGAGGAAAAAAAAAGTTTATTCCTTTCTCTCATGCATAAAAAATATGGAAACAAGCTTCTAGAGTTCTATGGTGGCCTTCTATGGTAACTTTGAAAGGTTTTTAAGATTGGACTAATCTTGGTGCTGCTGAGTCAGACTGGGTAATGCTGATCTCAGGCTGAGCTCTCTGGAGTCTTCTTCAGAATGGGGTGGGCCAAGCGCCCACACTGCCAAGAGGGCCAGCACCGCACCCCACCCACACCCAACATCCTTCAGCATATAATGACCCAGCTTCACAGCTCCACAACTAATCTCAAAGACACTAGTTGATTTGTCCCAGTTTCACAGCCCCAGTTCTACATCTCCAAATTTCATACTCAGACAGCCCAATAGGAACATAGCAAATTAGAAAAAAAAGTTGCATAGAATCCCACTAAGCTCAATGAGTGAAAACAATAGCTAGCACCAAACAACTCAGTAAATCCCCAGACAATGATTATAGTAAGACCATTGTGAGATATATGTAATTAGAAATATAGCCTGCTCAGATCAGGGCTGAGCATCCTTTACCCAGAGCCTCCACCTTCCAGTAGGCAGGGGTCACACCCACCAACTAGCCCCCTGGCGCCATGTAATCCCATCAACGGCCAAGATCCAGAGACTATAAAACCCAGCTCCCGGAAGCTGGATTTATTATCTTATTATTCTTACTTTGGACAAACTGGCAGGCTACCGAATGTAACCTGCCCACATGGCAGAGTCTGGCAAACTCCCGTGGCGTACCCAATATGCCAAATACCAGTAACAATGATGGGTCTCATTCTCCAAATCCTGAAAGAGCCTTGAATATGGCACTTTTTAAAAAATCTCAGGTCTAGGACGAAGGAGACGTTACTGGGGCCTGCTCGAGGCAATCGACGAACAACAGGATGGTCGTGATCATGATAATGTAAATTATTTGCGGCTGCTATGAAGGTAGGCTTAGGGGGGTGGATGGGAAACTGGAACACTGGTGAAGGGAAGATCACACTGGTGGTGAGATTAGTGATTGAACACTGAATACATGAAACAACTGTATTATAATCAACATTGTAAATAACAGTATTTAATAAAATTTTTTTAAAAATTTCTTAAAATTAAAAAAAGGCAGGAGTAATAGTACAGCAGGTAGGATATTTGCCTTGCACATGGTCAACCTGGGTACAATCTCTGGCACCCCATATAGTCCCCCAAGCACCTCCAGGACTGATCTCTGAACTCAGAGTCAAGAATAAGTTCTGAGCATTGCTGGGTGTGTACCAAAAACTGCCCTCACCTCCAACAATCCCCAAAATCTATTCTGAAAATAGTCAACTAATAAAGAAATTAGAAAATTTACATAAGCTTAACTTTGGCTCCTCCAATTCTTCAAAATTCCATTTCTGAAGTCTGGGTTTGGGGTCTGGGATTTGGACCACACCCAGAAGTATTCAGGGCTTACTTCTGACTCTGCATTCAGGAATCATTTCTGACCTGGTTCGGGGACCTCATGGGAGGAACTTATAGGCCAGTCTCTTTTCTGGAGGTCTGTATATCCTGCCACTTTAGATCTTTTCATAGTGAAGAAGACTTTGGGAATAAATGGAAAAATGGGCTTCTCTTTTTTCTCCTAAAATTCTATATATTTTACCCAAATAGAGACCACAGGTCATTTTAGAAAATTACCATTCTAATTTTGTATTGAATACAAGCATTTAGTTTCTTGCTAAAAATTCTTACTCTTTCCATTTCAAATTCTCATTGTAAAATCGATCCTGAGTACCCAAGATAGGCCCCCAAGCACTGCCAGGAGGGAACCCTGAGTGTAAAGCCAGAAATAAGCCCTAGGCACCACTGGGTGTGGCCCCCAAGTCAACTCCAAACAAAGATCACTCCTGGCGGTGCTTGGGGGGAGAATATGGGGTGCCAGGGATTGAACCCAGATTGACCATGTGCAAGTCCATATTATTTTCAATACTCAAATTTAAATATACGAAGTAAAAAATTGTCAGCATTTTGGGTATTTGATCATTGTATGACTGAAACTTAAACCTTTGAAACTTAAACTTTTGTAACTGTTCTCATGGTGATTCAATAAATAAATTTTAAAAAATATTTTCAGCATTGGTAGTAATGAAATTTTTTCAAATTTCATGTTCAGAGAACATATATATATATATATATATGTATATATATATTCCCTTGACGCTAGAAATTATCCTGGCAAGTTACTCTAAGGCAGCATGCCTTTCCAATAGAATGGTCACCACATAGACACTGGCCTATTAGTTGCTAACCAATTCCATCATTTGAAGAAAGACATCTGATTATTCAAACATTTATATCTACATATTTGTTCCTTTTTTTCTTCACTGAATCACATTTTTAATTACCTTCAAATGTAGGCTGGCCTGTGGCTGCAGTTGTAGAGCGAGAGGGGCTTCACACACCACACAGATGCGGGTGTTCATGGGCACCAGGGTTCCACACTCTGCACATAAACCCATCTGCACAAAGAAAGAGGTCAAAGACTGATTTAGGAACAAGCTGATCTTAGAATGTGAGGTTTAATTTGGTTTTGTAAAATAATTACCTTTATTCTTATTTTCCCATTAAGAGTAGACCACATTTATTATAGAAAACAAAATGTCATAAGAAAGAAAAGAAAAAGGTCTTACCAGCATAACTGAATACAAATCTTTCCAGAGTACAATTAGAATGTTGAGTAACTTCCTAAATAACCATTTCAGACTTTGAAAGTTGACCAAAGGCAGACAACAAACTTAAAAGAATGGGACTGCAGATAATCTGTTGAAATTTATAAAGAGTAATGAACCCTCCCTGAATAGCCAGAGCAATCACTGGGTGGAGGAGGGGGGAAACAGGAGCCTTCTTTTTCCCCAACTTCAAACCATACTATAAAGCTACAGTAATCACAACAGTGTGGTACTGAAATAAGGACAGACTCTCAGACCAACAGAATAGAATTAGAGTCCAGAGAGAGACAGAGTCTCGGGCATATGGGTCTAATCTTTGATAAAGGAGCAAAAAATATGAAGTAGAGCAAGAAAATTTCTTCAACAAATAGTGTTGAGACCCCTTTTTAATACCATGCACAAAAGACAAATCAAAATGGATTAAATACCTCATATCAGACTTGAATCAATGAATCTAGGCTTATCTTCAATGATTCACTGAATGGCCAAGCAAACAGAAACAAAGATAAACAAAAGGGACTAAATCAATGAACAAGATTTTGTACCACGAGGAAAATGATGGCCAAAATAAGAAGATATACTACAGATATCACTCTATCACTGTCATCCCATTGTTCATCAATTTGCTCAAGCGGGCACCAGTAATGTCTTCATTTGTTCCAGCCCTGAGATTTTAGCAGCCTTTCTTTCACTCTTCCAACAGGGAAGGGGAATGAGACCCATTATTGTTACTGTTTTTGGCATATCAAATATGCCACGGGGAGCTTGCCAGGCTCTGCCACATGGGCAGGATACTCTTGGTAGCTTGCCGGGTTCTCCAAGAGGGAGAACTAGACTATAAGAAGTTGTGTGGCTGCAAATGTGGCCACTCTCTTCCAGGATCTTTGTTTTATAGTCTCTGGATCTTGGCCATTGATGGGATTACATGGTGCCAGGGGCAGTTTGTGGGAGTGACTGCCACTGCTTAGCTACTGGAAAATGAGGGATCTGGGTGGAGGAGGCCAAGTCCCAACCCAAGCAGGCAGACAGGAAAGAATATTTACCCACCATTCATCTGACAAAGGGTTGATACCCAAGACATATAAAGCACTGGTAGAACTTTATGAGAAAAAAAAACCAACCTCATCAATAAACGGAGGAGAGAAATGAACAGAAACTTCCTAAAAGAAGATATACAGATGGCCAAAGGTATATGAAAGAATGGTCTGTGTCACAGATCAGAAGGAAAATGCACATCAAATAGCCAGGAGTTATCAGACTCCAACAGCGAGACTGGTACACAACACAAAGAACAAAATGAACCAGCGCCAGCGTGGATGTGGGGTGAAAGGGGGCCCTCATCACTCTGTTGGAAATGTTTCCTTTTTGGAAAACAATATGGCATTTCTCAAAAAATTAGGAATTGAGTTTCTATATCACCCAGCAATTCCACTTCTTGGCAAGGATTCCCCAGGGGCCCAAAACTCTATTAAGAAAAAAATATTTTTACTCCAGTGGTTCAATGAAGCACTATTTACAAAAGCCAAAATCCAAAAACAACCCATGTCTGAGAACAAATGACTGAATAAAGAAACTATAGTACATATCCACAATGGAATTCTATTCAGCGAAAATACAAAATCATGCAAATTTCTGCTCTGTGTATGGATCTGGAGAGAATCATGTGGAGTGAAAGTAGTCAGAAGGAGAGCAACAGAAACCAAATGATTGCTCTTCTATGCTAAACATAATAGTGGAATCACAAATGCCCAAAGGCAATAGAAACTGAGAACTTGTCTTCAGTAGAAAGTTTAACATGAGGGGTGGGGCGGAGGGGCGGCGGTGAGATATTGAGACAGTGGCGGACGGAATCTAGGGTAGAAGGTGTGGTGCGGGAATGTTTCGAGCATGAAACCCTACCATTAACAGTTTTGTAAACCACAAAGTGTCTAATGTAATTTTTTTCTAAAAAAAAAGAAAAAAATCCTACAAGTTTGAATGGTTCTTGTGTGGGGCCATTCCCATCCTTCTCCAGTTTTATCGGTATGGTAGTTTTTCCAAGGACTGTGTAAATTGCCAAGGACTAGTTCTTCCAGGCTGTGTAAACCAGCTATTTTGTGGCTGCTGATAAGCATCACTCACTTGATTTAGAACATTGTTAACAATCTTAGTAGCAAACAATCAGAAGATCCAGGGGCTCCACAAGACTGAGATCACAGTCTTGTCTGAGGCAGCCAACAGACCAGCAAACTATGCAAGTATTAACAGGAGCTCATGAGGTAAATTATCTAGAGAGAACTTGGCATACACTCAGCTCAGTTGACCATAGGCTACATGTATGTACGCCGTAGTCAGAATGGGCCTATGTTGAGGCAAAATGCTTTTTCAGAAATTAAAATGGATTCTATTCAGAGCTATTAACTTACTAACTGTTGTCAATTTCATATATTTTGTGTACAAACATAATAATATCATGGGTCTAAGCTAGCCAGGGATATGCCCTAGCTGGAGAAGACTGGACAAGGAGATGAAAAAAACTAGGACAGACCTGAAAATAGCCTAAAGTTTGAATATTCTTCCCAACTCATACATAGCTCCATCAGCAAAAAAGTAGAAGCCTCACTGAATCAAGGTGTTGAAGCACAAATTCAGGTCCTAACAGTTTCCAGACATTTCAGGTAAGATTTTTAGTATAGTATAGGTAACATGGTTATAATAGCATTGACTTTTATGGTATTGATATAAAATTTACTTTACTCTGCCACCACACTTTCCACCAATTTCCTTATGTTACTTCTAGTACACCTCTTCCTTCTCCCCATCTCTTCCCTTACTGCTTGGTAATATAAAATTTTTAAATAAATTTTATAAATAAATTTTAATAATAACATAAAATTTTAAAATACAAGGTCAAGAGTTACAGACATGAAAGATTAAATCCAAGAAGCAAACAAAATAAACAATACTAGGAGAAATAATAATTCAGAACTGTTGAAGTATATTATCTAAAGGTCCAAGAATTAAAGGAAAAATCATGAAAAAAAGAGAACCAAAAAGGTGATCATCTATACTCAGAAAAGAAATTTTCTCTGAGTATCTCCAGATATTAGATTTAGCAAAAAATTCACACAATTATTATCAACATGTTCAAAAAATAAAAGAAACCTATTTAAAAATTAGATAAAGTATGGTGATAACTATAAAAATTAGGAAATCTAATTTTTAAATTATGATTCTTTCTCAATCACTGTCACTGTCCTCCCATTGTTCATCAATTTGCTCGAGTGGGCACCAGCAATGTCTGTATTGTGAGACTTGTTATGTTTTTGGTATATCGAATAGGTCATGGGTAGCTTGCCAGGCTTTGCCGTGTGGGCACAATACTCTAGGTAGCTTGCCGAGCTCTCCAAGAGGGGTGGAGGAATCAAACCAGGGTTCACCTGGATCAGCCACATGCAAGGCAAACGCCCTACCTGCTGTGCTATCGCTCCAGCCCTCTGCTTTGCATGTGGCCGACCCGAGTTCGATTCCTCAGCCCCTCTCAGAGAACCCAGCAAGCTACCAAGAGTATCTCGCTGGCAAAGCCTGGCAAGCTACCCGTGATGTATTTGATATGCCAAATACAGTAACAACAAGTCTCAGGATGAAGACGTTACTGGGCCCGCTCAAGCAAATCTCTCTTCTCAGTAGTCATAAATTATAAAATAAGAACCAAGTTTAAACCCTAACATAGAAAAGTTAAACAACTGAAGTTTTAAAATTTCCAGAGAGATCAACAGTAGTCAGAAGTATCAGTGAGCCTTAATATAATTCAATATAAATTTTCTATTAAATTTATGTTGGGCTGGAGCGATAGCACAGCGGGTAGGGCGTTCGCCTTACAAGCGGCCAACATAGCCGACCCGAGTTCGATTCCTCCGCCCCTCTCAGAGAGCCTGGCAAGCTACCGAGAGTATTCAATATGCCAGACACAGTAACAACAAAAGTCTCCAATGGAGACGTTACTGGGCCTGCTCGAGCAAATCGACGATCAATGGGAGGGCCTTTACCTTTACCTTTACCTAAATTTATGTTGAGAATAAAGATTGAGAAAAATAGGAATCAGTGAGATAGTACAGGGGGAAAGGCGCATGCCTTGCATCTGCTGATCCTGGTTTGAATCCCTGACATGGCATTTTAATCCTATGACCGTCACCTGGAGTGATCCTTGAGCAGCAGCCCCTTCAGAAGTGGCCTCTGAACACAGTCAGGAATAGCCTCTGAACACTGCTGCTGGATGTGGGTCCCTCCAGAAAATACATTTATTAATCAAAAAGTTAACAAGAAAACAAAGCATCATAGCCTATAGGGCAAGCAACTCCAAATAGAAGCCCGACAGGGAAAGAACGAGAAAGTGACAGAAAATAAATTTGATGAAATAATGGCTCCAAAATTTCCACATTAGAAAAAAAATTAATCTACAGATCCAATAAATGCAGTCAATTCAAGAAAGATAAATACAGATCTTTGAAGCGTTCAGCATAAGAGAAGGAACACATGGAGGGTGCGGGATCCCGGAGGAAAAAAAAAAAAAAGAAAAAACAGGTTCCAAAAAGAGCCGAGATCACCCGCAAGTTCCAGATGGAGTAGGTGCCGCATCCCGCCTCCCCCAGATGGAACCCCGGTGACCAGAAGCCTCTACAAACACAGCTCGAGTATGCGGGAACAAGGACTTTTTCTCAAATCTGCCGGACTACACCTCCCAGGTAACCTCTGATTCCGGAAGTCATGCCCACAGCCCGCCCCCCAGCGCCATCTTTGAAGCGTTCAGC